TTTCAATTGAGTCAGAATCACATGGGGAGTGTTCAAAGCTTGGGTCACATCCCACACAAACTAAAGTGCCAGGGCATCTATATATTTAAAAAAATTTCTCTATGTGGTGATGGCTGGGAACTGCTGGCTTAGATTGACTTAGCAGATCTCTGGGTGTGTTAGAGGTATAGAAACTTTAATGTGGCATGCTACCATCCCACTGATGGGAATAGAATGGTTGTGGTATTGCTTCTGGTTGAAAAGCAACCCAAGCTGTGAGACAGCAACTGAGTTAATATACTTGATAAAATGAAGACCTGCAGTACATACTCTGGGGGTCCAATGTACTTCCCTGGCCAGCTGTATTTCTGTGTTGCTGATGTGATAACACTGTATATATAAAACTTTAGCAAATCAGTGGGATTCTTTACTCAAGGAGTGTGTATATTTCTTGATCAATTTCTTCATTGATCTTAAGTTTACGGGCTCTCTGAAATCTTCAAGAGCTCAAAGTTGAATTCCTATTTCAAGAAAAGTGCTTTAAAAATTGCATCATATTTTACTTGTGTGTTTGATAAACACTAATGAACCAACAGCCACTTTGGTGAACTTTGACTTATATCAGTATAATGGGCCAGTATGTTTAAAGTATATTGAGTATATTTAATACTGACTGACATTTTGATGCCAGACAACTCTTAGAGCATGGTATTGGTTACCATCATGCTTAACACTACGGCTTCTTCAGTTTTTAGCTTAAAAATGTGGGGCACCTGGGTGGCTCAGTTGGTTAAGCATTGGACTTCGGCGCAAGTTGCGACCTTGGGGTCCTGGGATGGAGCCCCACGTGGTCAGGCTCCTCACTCAGCAGGGAGTCTGCTTGTCCCTTCCCTTTGCCCCTGCCCCCGCTCTTGCTCTCTTAAGAAAAAAAAATGCAAAATGCTCCCTCTGACCTCATTCTCCTGCAACCCTTGTGATTCATCCTGTATTTTTGAATTAAGCTTTTATATAGTGTGATTCAAAGGAACCTCAGAGGCCTCAAGCGAAAGCCCAGCGTCCTGTTCCAGGGACAGATTTAGATTCACATACCATTAGTGAATGCATACCGTATGCCCTGCACATTGGGTGCTTTTTATTTTGTTCCATCTGGTATTCAGTACCAGCTCCGTTTGTGAACAAAGGCCATGGAGCCTCAGAGCGGTGAAATGTCATGGTCCAGACCGCGTGCCTAAAGACTTGTTTATCAAATCCAGGCCCCTGGAATCCTAGCCAGTAGGTTTTATAATATTCCACGGTTGTGATTGTTGAGAAGTAGTTCCGCCTATCGGGTGGAAGCCTCATTCTACAATTGGCTATGTAATCTAGTACTTTTATAGGTTAATATTCCAAATTTATAAAGACAAGCACCCTAGTTATTCTGAGGTTTTCTTTATCTGGGCCAAGGAAAATCTTCAGCAGATGCTCCCAGGAATATACTGGCACAACCCTCCTGTGCATCCTGCTTGGAGAAGATGGGAGGTCTGCCTGCTCCATCCTCTAATCTCCTCCCGGTGTGTTTGGTTTCATTTAAATCCCAATTCTTTGTAGAGGCCTTTTCTGACCCCTTCCATCACTCAGTGACATTCCTTCATGCCACTGAACACAATTTGTAATAATTAGTCTGTTTGATTTAATCTTTTCCTGTAGACTAAGCTCTGTAAGGGCAGTCATTCCACTAGATTTATGTCTAGCATCAAGGATTCTGCCTGCTGTTCAATACCTTGCTGTTGAATGGTTGTCCCTCTTAGATTCTGTTACCTATCATTGAATACAGTGCTCCTGTTACATTGTGAGCAAGGTTCAGGACCAAAAGAACCAGCCTCTCCCCTTACTTTCTCAGGAGGATTCTGGACCACTTGGTGCAGCCTAATGACACCTTTGTGGTCACCTTAGTGTTATCTCATACTGAGTTAAGATCAGAAAAAAAAATAACCAAAAACAAAACCTTCAGTGTGTGACCCATTTTGCTGGTAATCACCTCATTCTGTATTTGTGCTGGTAGGGCCATATTTTGCCCCTTGTAATATGTTACCTTTTAGATTTTCTATGAGAGGTCACAGTTTCTCCTTCCCACCACCCCACCCAGAAATATATTCATCTAAATCTCTTGGGAAGGAATATAGTATATGAAATACACACACACACACCCCGATACAGTGGTTTAAAGCTTGAGATTCAGTATCAGGATTTAAGTCCAAGCACCACCATCTGCTGGATGTTCAGTCTTGGAAAAGGGGCAGGGTGTTTTTGAGGCGTTCAGTAGGGATAACAATCTGTCTTTGAAAGGATTATTATGAAGCTGTCATGTGGAAATGTAGGGTGACGCCTTAGTCAATATACGGTACACAGAAACTGGGCACAAGTGCTAGTTTTATTACTGTAGTCATCCAGATAAAAATTCTGTCACACCTATTCATTCCCTCCTAAACTGGTTAGGATGGGTGATCGCGTTTCTTCACCATCTCTAATCACCTCTGGCGTTCTTAACGCTTCACCATCCACAAGAGGCATCCTGGTTTACACAGTGGCAATATCACAGCCTTTGCAAAAAGCCTGCATGCCAAGGGTAATTTCAATCCAAGATGTGCACTGTTAAAAGATTTACTAAAATGTCAATCACTTTGAGGGGGGAAAATCTTGACAGATTCTATAGAATCCATCAGTGACTTGCGAGGGTAAAAACTGATCACAAATACTGTGCCTTCGTCTAACAAGGGCTTCCGAACGGTGGTGGTTAGAAGCTTGGATTGTGTAGCCAATCGTATTTCTCAGAAGCTCGGGTTTCGAGGGTGATGGCATAAGAAACTGCAGCTATCACAACTGCCTGTTCCAGGAACTCTCTCCATAGTTCTTCCTGTGCCCTCCCATTGTTCCCACTGAGAGATTCTTTCTCATGTGAGATAGAAACTAAAGAATTGATTTGAAAATCAAAGAAATGATGTACATTTCCACATTCCCACTTCTCATTAAATGACAGTAATAACGTTCAAGTCTTCCCAATAAGACCGAATGCTCTCAGAACATTTAATGACCCATGCAACTAACCCGACTCTGTGTGTAACAGAGCTAGGCTGTCAATTGTACTTAAAAATGAAAATTAAGGAATCAACAAATGTTATTTATTAGACTTCCCTTGAAAGGAAATTTCTAGTTTTGAAGTCAGTGTGCAGCTCCAAAAGGAGCACTGGACCAGGAGTGGATTCTTGTTACCAGGTTTACCACTAGCTCGTTGTGGGGACCCACTCTCCCGTATACACTGAGAGGGTTAGATGAACAAATGAAAGCGTACTTGTCCCAGTGCTAAAAAACAAATCATGTTTCTCATTGGCATACAGATTTTGAAAGATTAATAGCAAATGAATGTATTGTCTGCCATAAGATTCTAATGCCAGAGATCCCTTGAGTCGAGGGGTGATGATGATTTTTGTCCGCCCTCGATGTAGACACTCAGAGACATCCTAAAGAATACTCTGCATGTGTTTGTTTATATGTTGTATAGGAATCCCTATCTGTGGGAACCAAAATAGGGGAGCTACCTCACTCTAACCAGGCTGAAAAGTGAAAATGAATGCCTCACATTGAATAATATTTCATTCAAGCTTAATATTATAAAAGCTATTTAATAAAAATTTATAGCTAAAAATTATTGCATACTTACTATGTACTAGGCACTGTGCTAACTGAAACAATTTTAGGAGGAAGTTGCAGAGAGGGTATTCCAACCACAGCTCTATTACCAGAAACGAAACTTTTAAATGCCACCCTAAAACTGCCTCTATTTACCAAGAATGAACAAATGTTAGAGTAACAAGATAAAGTTTTAGGGCTCTAGAAGAAAAGTAATTATAATAAAACTTACGGAGTAACTTATTTGGGCTAAAAGACACTTTGGATGGTATGAATGCATTCATTGAAAATGGAAGTAGGGGCGCCTGGGTGGCTCAGTCATTAAGCGTCTGCCTTCGGCTCAGGTCATGATCTCAGGGTCCTGGGATCGAGCCCCGCATCGGGCTCTCTGCTCAGCAGGAAGCCTGCTTCTCCCTCTCCCACTCCCCCTGCTTGTGTTCCCTCTCTCACTGTGTCTCTCTCTGTCAAATAAATAAAATCTTTAAAAAAAAAAAAGAAAACGGAAGTAAATGGTGTCTATTTTAATTGAAAATTTCTATTTTTGGTCCTGCCATGAAATAAACAATTTGGTTAATATCTAGCCTATATACTTTGCAATTTTTCACAACCCATTCAAGGATCTTCTCTGAGTTAAACTGGTAACACAGGAAGCCTGAAACTGTATTTGAAAGCAATGTGGAGAGAGGCCCAATGGTTCGGTCTCAGGCTCAGTCTGGTGAGCTAGAGGACTGTATGTGTACTGGAGGCTGACCAAACCTGAAGGCATGTTTCAGAATGATTTGTGAATGTCTAATAATGATCATTACCACTACATAGAAAACCTACTATGTTTTTGGACTTTCCCATGGTCCAGGGAATTATGTGGTCAAATCTCTAGTGAACAGATGAGGTTTGCCCAAGGCCACCCAGTCCCTGACTCTCAGAGGTGAGCCTCCAGTAACCAGGACTTCTTGGCTTCCAAGTAGCTTTCTCAAAACAATTATCATAACAATTAGCAATTATCATAGAAGATGAATAAGTTCCCATGGTGCACAGGACTCACCGAAAGGCCAGTGTTTCTTTGAAGTCTTTTGTAGTCAGCTTAAAAAGTTATATGCTTTAGTGTTCTGCAGCATATAATATCTCTATGTAATGGAAAAATAATGATTTAATTCATCATTGGTTAAATTACTTGGACTCTCCCTCAAAATCTTTAGGCCAAACACTGTCCAGGAAGATGTGTCGAGTTTGTCCCATGGCTTTCTGTTTCCTAACTGGAGAAGCACTGCACTGGAAGAAGCAGAGTATGTAAACACACATTCTGGCGTCTGACATTCCACTCAGTAGCTGTGTGATCTTGGACACGTAATGAGCTTCTCTGAGCCTCAACTGGCTCAATGAAGGTAAGGTTGATGCTTTATTTTTTTTTTTAAGATTTTATTTATTTTAAGAGAGGGAGAGAGAGTGCACGTGCAAGAGAACATGAGCTGGGCTGGGTGGGGAGAGGGAGAGGGAGAAGTAGACTCCCCACTGCACAGGGAGCCAGATGTGGGACTCCATCCCAGGACCCTGGGATCATGACCTGAGCTGAAGGCAGATGCTTACCCGACTGAGCCACCCAGGCACTCCGGTAAGGCTGATTCTAATAGATGTTTTACAGAGCTGTTACCAAAAAATATATGTTCATTCAGTGCTCAGCAGAGGTGTGGCCTATTCTACCATGATATGGTTGTGAAAGTGGGAGAAGAAAAGCTCTCAAGCCTGGTTGATTAGTGGAGATACAGGATGAAAGATCTTACATACTTCTCTTCTGCCACTGTTTTGATATTTCAATTGGTTCCCTGTTAAAAGTATGCTTTAATTTCAATCGGCCTATGGACTTTTGGGATTTATTTTGCTCTTCATCTCAGTTTGTTGAAGAACTAAATGGAATGGTTTTAATGTATATAGAAGCTGACAAAGTTGCACAACTCTGGCAATGAGTCTTGATCTGTTTTTACTTCAGAGCCTCTAGTGCAGCAGGTGGGGGTTAGAAGTCCACTTTAGCAATGACTATAGCTGGTGGTGAGAATATTGCACATTTCTCTCTTCTCGTGTGTTTGTCAATTTTATCACAAAACAAATGAAAGTGAAGACAAAAACATGCTTTTACATTTACTTCTGCTTTTACCATGCAATTTAAATAAAAACTCACCCTAGAACTCTGAATCTTTCCTTAAAAGAGGCAGGGTAGGAAGACACTGTAGATGAGAATAGTACTATTTATAATATTCATTGAGTGCTTCTTGTAGTCCAAGTGTTGGCTTAAATCCTTTATGTGTCTCATCCCATTTAATGCTTGCTACAACCCTAAGAGATTTGGCTGTCATCATCTCCATTTAGCCAAAGTGATAGACCTCACAGCCAAGAATTGTGGTCTCTCAGGACTTTGCTCCAAACATTTCTGTTCATACACATAAGAGATTTTCATTTGAGAAATAGAGAATAAACCAGAGTCTTGTTGCAAGGCAAACCATGAGACTAGTAAAGGTATGTGGCCATAAAGAGAAGGTCTTGTTCTCAAAGGAAAAATCACAGTATAATAATATGCTTTTCTTTACTCAGTCACAACAAAGTAAGTAAAAGCTTCTCAGAAAAATCCAAGAAAGATATATAACATATACCATATTTTGATGTAAAGCAAATTCTTTACATGGTGCAGATATCTCTGCCAACAATGGTATTTATCAAGATTATTTATTATAAGGCATTAAATCTTTTTTTCAATTACTTTCTAATGAAATGTTCCAATTACCTTTTAAATGGTGACATATGGCTGTTATTTATTCCAGTGGGGATAAACCTTGCTTATACAAGGTTTCAAGGGCTCCCTCATGAACTACACTAATTACTGATGGAAACAAAGATAGAGGATTATTATCATATTTATCGATAAATCCTGAACCTCATTGCAGTATAGTTCTCTGGGTTAGATGACATTAATCATCAGGTAATTTCCAACAGTTATGGTGCAGATCTGCTATAAAAGGGATGCTTCTGCAAGCCAGCTGATTTTGGAGCATGTTTATTTATTTATTTATTTTTAAGATTTTGTTTATTTATTTGAGAGACAGTGAGAGAGAGAGAGCGAGCACATGAGAGGGGGGAGGGTCAGAGGGAGAAGCAGACTCCCTGCTGAGCAGGGAGCCTGATGCGGGACTCGATCCTGGGACTCCAGGATCATGACCTGAGCCGAAGGCAGTCGATTAACCAACTGAGCCACCCAGGCACCCGGAGCATGTTTATTAATGGGGTTGAATTCTGGGATAACCAGGGGAGAAGTCCCAGGGTTGTTGTACACAGTGACATTGGCAAAATAATGCTCTTAAGCAACTGGTGTGTTAACAAATGAATAATTACTACAGGAAAATGTCAACCACTATTTCAAAGGGCTTTATCTGGGGGATCCTGACGAAGAACTAGGCTTCCACCAGTACCAAGCCTATGAAGTGCCTCCACCTTTTGCAATAACTTTGTTCTGAATGGGATTTTATTTTAGTACGGAATTCAGAGGCGAGCAGGAAGAAAGTACCATCACTGTGAGAAGCCCAGTTTTTCCAGCAAAGAAAAATCTTTCAATATTATTGTTGAGACCACTTCCTTCTCATTCCATAATACCATGTCACTGTTGGTTTCAAAACAGGGATTTACCATGAAGTCATTCTTCTTCATTTCTATTCACCTTTTGGTTTTTAAAAACTTCCCCAAGCTTTGGTTTACCCACCTCTATATGAGGATAATACTAGTACCGACCTCATAGGATTTGGGGGATTTGAATGTAAAACACTTCATGCCTGGCCTATTTTGAGAGTTCAAAGATGTTAACTATTTCATCATTGATGGAGTCAAACAATTTAATATTCATGAGACAGAGAAAACCTGTACCTGTTCTTATTTCCTCAAACTCCCTTGTTTGAGGAAATTCCTTAGAACTCCAGATGTGCATTGATTATCAGTCCTTCCATACATACATATAATACATAATTAATATGTATTAATTAAATACATATACTTTTACTTAGTCCATGGCTTATAATGTTTGTTAGTTTATTCTCATTTTATATGTGAAGAAATTAAGACACAGAAAAAGAGATTTATATTATAAAACACATAGGTAAGTAGCAGAGATGAGATTCAAACCTAAATCTAGGTTCACAGTTTCTGGGTCGGGTTGGGGGGCAGGGGGCAGCAGGCGCCTGGGTGTCTCAGTCAGTTAAGCCTCCAACTCTTGATTTCGGCTCAGCTCATGATCTCAGAGTTGTGAGATGGAGCCCAGAGTTCAGCTCTGCAGGGAGTCTGCTCGAGATTCTCTCTCTCTCCCTTTGCCCCTCCCCATGCCTGCATACACACTCTCTCTAAATAAATAAAAAGAATTTAGTTTCTAGGATATACATGGAAATAACAATATGCTGACATTCTTTTGTCAACCTCTGCTGAATGTTTACCAATAGTCTGAATTGCTCTAAGAACTTGGGGGTTCTTGAGTGCTTAGGTATTAAAGAATTGACCAAGAGGTAGTATGGGTCTATCTACATTGTTTCACATCTGCCTGTACTTGTATTAATCAAATGTTGAACACTGACTCTCAGCTGTCTCTTCTCCAGGTATTTAGTGAGGCCTTACTATGCACGAAGCATTGAGAATATAGTAAGGTACTTTTTAATCACTTTTCCTCTTTTGTATAGGAGGAAACTGAGGCAAGAAAGGTTAAGTAACTTGCCGAGAACTTACTCCAAATAGCTAGGTAAGTAGCAAAACTTGGATTTGAACCTCAGCACTCTGGTTCTAAAGTTGGTGCTCATTATAATACCTCTCCTGAAGAAGACAAACCTGTATACTAACAATTGAAAAGCAGATAACATTTAGTGTAAGAGAAATAGAATGAGGTGGAAGACATGAGTGGTGGGTGGGGAGAACCTTAGAAAAATCTCCCAAGAAGAAAGTCAGAGGAGATGGGAAGGAAGCAGACTTCTCAAGGTGGAGTAAGCATAGGGACTTTGGAGAGTAGGGTAGGGATGGGTAGAAGTGAAAGACAGGCTGAGGAGGTGAGGGAGGACCCTCAAGACCTTCTGGACCAAGGAAAGGAGGATGGAATCTGTCCTTTCAAGGGGGATAAACGGAGCAACGTGCTAGGACTGTGTTTAGAGAGACGCTCTGATTTCAGGCCCAGAGAAAATACTGCAAGGGGTGACAGACAAAACGGAAAGCAGTCAGACAGGTTTGGGTGTTAGTGTGAAGGGAGATGACATCCATCATGTTGCCCTTGACTAATCATGAGAAGCAGGGATGGGAATGGGTTGGAGCTAAGGCACTGGCCTGTGGTACTCTCAGGAAAGATGAACATCTTAGTGGGCACTTGTCTTTTGGGCTGAGGTTTAGCACCCTCACGATTACTGTGACAGGCAAGGTCTCTGAAAAAAGAAATAAGGATGCAAATATATCTGAAATATTTTAGGTATTTTCAGAACTTTTAAGCATAGCCATCTTCATAACACTTAGAAAACAAAATCAAACATGGACATAAATACAACTGAGAAGTGGAAACTCTGGGGAGAGAATGAAAATTTGAAAATCTTAAGATCTCATACAAGATTTTATTAGATGCCAGGTCAGTGACAGAAAATAGAGTAGACAAAGTGTAAGATTAATAATTAACCAAGGAGAGATATGGATATGCAAATTAATAAACCATCAAGATAATTAAGAGTTGATCATAAAGCAGAAAGTTTTTTTTTTCTTCAAAGATTGGAAGATCATTAATTATACTGTGTTGCAGAGAGTCAGGCCTGCCTATGTCTGCTCCTACAATCTCTGTTGTGGGCCACTCCCTTTACTGGGGGTGTTTGTTTGGAGTAGGGGTGGGCCACTTCGTGTCATCTACAGAGAAAGGGATGACTGCCTTACTTCCAGATGGAGCCCCAATTCCTATTTATGGAAACTGATACTCCTGTTTCTTTTTAATACATTTCCATAACCTGCCTGGAACAGACTTCTTTATAGCCAACTGATTCTATGCTAAGACCATCTATTAGTCTTATCCCAGTCTTTCTAAATGGTTTTATAAGAGCATGCTTCCAATATGCAATACTCCTCGTTCAAGCTTGACCCTTCCCTGAGATAGATAGCCTCTCATTCTTGGCATCACCATGTTAGACAATTCCTTAGAACTCCAGACGTGCATTGATTATCAGCCCTTCCATTATTGTGTTTCATCTCAGACATCCAGACTCAGCAAGTCCCCAGTTTAAGCATGGTACTTCCTCTTACAGTGTTCACTATCCCAGTGAGTGGCACCACCATTCTTAGTCACCAGCTAGGATCCTTTCCTGACATTGCAGAAGTCCTGCAGAGCACTGTGAAAGGCTTAGTAAAAACAAGCACCCCGGCGTATGAATCTTAAAGAAGTTACAGTTTACTGTGATACGTACAAAGGACACATCATCAGCAAAGCTCTCTGCAAGATCTCAAGCTGGAGGATGTTTAAGGAGAGAGATTTCTCAAGTCTCTCCAGATCCCCCCAGAGGATGGGGTGGTGACTGTGGTTCTCTCTGTTCAGGGTGACATCCTCTCAGGGTGCAGAAAGCCCCAAATGGGGACTTACATACTTAGAGCCTCTCAATATCATCACTCTAAAACTCCAGCACAATTAACTTGCCTATTTGAAAACTGTTTTCAGAAAACCTTATCAGCTAGATTAACATCCAGTCATGGTATTTTCCTATGCTACAGGTCCAACCTGCTCCATATCCAGAAGTTACATAATAGAGGTGAAGCCTCCTAGATGAGCATCACATTCAGTTCTGTACCAATGACCAGCGCCTGGTGGTAAGCAGTTGGTTATCTTCCACGATAGATGACTGGCAAAGGGCCCAGGGGGTAGGCCTGGTGAGGGATTACACAGCCATCTTGTTCTCTCTTGACTTCCAAATTCAAAAAACATGATACCCACTGGTTTTATTTTCTAGATCTCTTTAAATCTATCCTCTTGTTTCCATACCTATTGCTATCATCCTGGCCCAAGTCCCTAAAATCTTTCCTGTGGACCATTGTATATTTTTCTGTCCACCTTGGTTCTCTCCAACCCATTCTCTACACTGCAAGGAGAGTGATCTCTTCTAAACAGAAACTAGATCATGCTATACACAAACATACACACCTGGCTTGAAACACTTGCAGTGGATCCTCACTGCTTGGAGGCTAAAGATGCAAATTCTTAATATGGCCCACTGATCCTTGCATTATCTGGATACTTCTTAACTCTCAAGTTTCATCTCTGACCTTGATCTTCCACACCACCTTCCTTCCAGCTCTGACACACGCCACGCTCCTCTCCCACAGACTGCTTCCCAATGTGCTCCTCTGCCCGGGACCTTCTCCAACACATCTTAAGAGCCCAACTCAGCATTCCTTCCTCAGGAGAGGCTTCTATAGTCATGTGACTAGCTCAGTTCCCTACTACATACTGATGTAGCATCTTGAATCTTCTCTTCATACTGTTTGTAACTATTACAATTTAACATATATTTGTGGGATTATGTTTTTGCCCCTTTACTGGAATATTAGGTGCAAAAAGGGGGAAGGATTTTTACCTTATTGTTTTATTCACTGCTATATCCCTTTGGGAGGATGGTGCTAGCCACATGTGGGTCCAAAATCAAATTTCTTGAATAGAAGTGAAGAGAGATGCTCACTGTTGAAACCCTAATACGTAGCTTATAGATGGGAATCTGCAGGCACTGGATAACTATGTGAAGGAAAAGGACTGAGATTACAGTCCAGGGGGATGAATGTGAATCACTCCCTCCCTCATCTTGCTTCTCAATTTCAGGTAACCCTGGTGTGCCTTCCCTTTCATACTTTGTAGAAGTCTGGAGATATGGAGCGTTTAAAAATATAATTTCATCCAGCTCTAACCTTTCCATTTGATTTGATAGTGCTGGCATTCAAGGGGCTTCTAATCCTTTCTAAGCAAAGGGCTACTTGGAACTCCACTACAAGTAGATATAGTTTCTTTCTTTAACGTTTAATTTACTAGCAGGTAAGGACTATGCAAAAAGCTTTTACTCTGAATGTGGATGTATTTGTGATTCATAAGCTAACCGGACATTTAGTGGGCAAGGTGGAAGAAACAAGATGGCTGGTTCTCTGCCAAAAGGTGATAGAATGTGTTTGTTCTGTATAGCCCCTGAGGTTAGCCAGAGAATAAGGGTTAGAAGTAGAAGGGAGAGATTCAGTTTGTTGTAACATAAAACATTCCATAAACGGAATGGGCTGCCTTATGATGTGGTGAGGCCTACAGCTGAGGTTGTTTATAAAGTTCGAATGGCTAGTTGTCAGGGCAGTGACAAGAATAATTCCAGAACCGGATGTAACATTGGATAAGATGACCTCCACTCTGAGATTCTATATTTGGTGTAAAGTACATATTGCATTTCAAGCTTGGGAAGAGGTATAAGGGGAGCTGGAGAGCTACAGAAGAATTTATTGTGGTGAATTCTGAGCTTGTAGCCCAGGAAACAGAATGAACCCAAAGTCCGGAGTAGTGGCTGTACAGATTTTATGACAACACTGTCATCAAGGCTTTGATTATAGTTGTGACAAGGCAAAACTTATTAATGTGTGAGTGTTCACAGCTTTCCCTCCTCCCCATGTCTGCCCCCAAATACACTTGGCCTTGCCTGCTTAGATTCTCTCTTCCATCCCGTTCCCTTCCCCAACAGAATTTGTCAGAGCTAAAAGAAACCAGAGAGAGGGGTGGAGAAGGATCGACTACTCTGTAGACTGCGGTATTGGCAGAGTGGGCTGGAAACAAGTGTGGATTAGCTGCCTCGTGGGGGTGCCAATATTTGATGGTGGAGACCGAGACCGGTTCCCCATTGTGGAATTCCTTCTCAATTACCCTTGCCTGTCCAGTGTGATTCTACTCTAGGAATAAGCTGTCACGGACTCAAGGCTTATAAGGATTATACATTCTCAAAATAATAATCAATTGCTTCTGAGAGCAACCACTCCTATTATTCAGACACCTACTACTTTTGCGATCAACGGTTCCTGTTCTTCAGGAGTCCAGCATGGGAAACACTGGTATCAAAAGAGAGTCTTCTTTTTCTTTGCCAATCACTTTGTTGTCTTTTTCTTAGTGAAATGGTAAACAATCAGCAGGGAACTTCCCTGTGTCTGTACTCATTCTTTATCTTTCCTGCTTTCACTGTGCATGGACTCTCCTTGCTCCCAGGGTTAAACCCTGAACTTACTCTCTAGATCTCTCCCCTCCTTAGCAAAATCATCTTGCTATTCCTTCTCCTTCTCTGTAGCATAAATTTTCCTTTCTCTCATGCATCATTAGCATACAAACTTGCTGCTTAATTTCTCTCCCTCTGATATCAAAACTCCTAAAATAATTGATTATTTATTGCTCCACTGCCATCGTGAGGACAAAGTCAGTGGTCCACTCTCTGTCTCACTAGTCATTCTCTTAGCAGTATTGGACACTGGTCCTCCCTGCTCCTTCTTGAATGTTCCAATGCTTGGCTTCCAGGACATCTCTCTCATTCTTTTCTTTTTATCTCATTGGCAGTTTCTCCTCCTCTCTCTGACCTCACGACTGACTACCCAGATGATTTTAACCAGTGTCCTGGCCTGCTTACCAAATCTGAGTGGATGACTCTCACATCGATATCTCCTGCTCAGGCCTCTACTCTGAACTCCAGACTTGGGTATCTGCCTACTGAATTTCTCCACCTGGATAGCCACAGGAATCTCAGACAACACATTCAACCAAAACTCCTTATTCCTGCTCCCTGGCCCCTCCATCATTCCCTTCTTGCAGCCTTCCCCATCTCTGTTGACTGCAACCTCATTTCTCCAGTTATTCCAGCCATAATCATTGGGCTTATCACTAATTCCTTTCTCTGTCTTTCTTACACTCACACACTACTCCATCAGGAAATGCTGCTTCTCTCTCTTTTTAAGATTTTATTTATTTTTGAGAGAGAGAACGAGGGAGAAACAGACTCCCCACTGAGCAGGGAGCTTAATGCGGGACTCTGTCTCAGGACTCTGAGATTATGACCTGAGCCGAAGGCAGAAGTTTAACCGACTGAGTCACCCAGGCGCCCTCTGCCAAAGCTCTTCACAAAATGCCTAGTGCTACCACCCTGGCCGTGTCACCATCTTATCTTCCCTGGATTGTGCAAGAGCCCCTTTACCTGGTCTTGCTTTCCTCCCTGCCTTTCACAGTCTTTTCACAGAAGCCAAAATTTTTTTAAAGGTGGTGGCCCATCTGGACAAAAGCAATCCTTGGAATGCCAGCCTCATGAGCCAAAGGTACCTTTGAGTGAATTTAGGAAAGTCAGCAAACCTTTCTTTAGGAGAATACAGCCCTCTGCTGGATTGCCTTCAGTAGTTAGCAGCCCTCATTTCACCGCGGGGCTTAAAACCCTCAAGTGGTAAGCATGTCAGCCAGAGTAACAGCTCCAGTTTTTACAACCCTCCAGAATGCCTCCGAGCACCTGGGCCCTCGCTGCCTCTCTGTTCTCCTCCCTGAACAGACAAAGCATGCAACCACAAAGGGCCTCCGGGACTCTGTTTTCTGTGGTTGGACCGCACCTGCCCCCACCCCAATATACACATGGCTTGCTCCCTTACTTCCTGTGCCTGCTCAAAACGCCAGTGGATTAGAGGGCTCCCCTGACCACCACTCACAACAGGATTCTCCCCAGACGCTCACCATCCTGCTTATCCTACTATTTTTTTCCTATTACTTACCTGACATCTGTTTATTAGTTTTATGATCTGTAGCTTCTACTTGCCACACAATGTTCAATAATATTTGTTGAATTAATGCTTGGTGACTCTTCATTGAAAGGCTTTGATAAAAGTAATGGATACAAATATGGTATCTCAAAGATCTGCCTCTCTTCAATCCCTCTCACAGAGAAGTTAGGGGGCAGAGCTTCTGGGATGACCAGGGTAGAGGCTGGAACATGTAGAATCAGTGTGGCTGGAGTTGTAACACATCTGAACCCCTCCCCTTCCTTGGAAAGTGGAGAAAGGGAATTCAAAGGGACCCCTTTAATTCAGAGGTAAACAAGGGATCTTGTGACCTATGATCCAGTTCTGCTTTTTAAAGTCTAATTTGGGGTTTGGAAACAAAACTTAGAGCTAGCAACAGAATGTTCCTTTGACCACCCTTGTTCTGTGTGTCTAGGGCCTCTGCTAATCAGGCTTCCTCACTGTATCTATCCATCCATTCCCCACTCCCTACCTTCTTTAGAGACCTTACAGGGATAGCTGTGACTTGGGGATGTGTATGACACGTCTTAAAAATCCTGGGTCCTAGCTATCTCCTATCCATTCATATCTTAGCACTACTAAACATTTCGATTGTAATGAAGACCACCATCTATCACTGCTTGTGCATTTAGGTACCGTACCCCGCAGTGCCGTATCTTCACTCCTACTTCAACAGGCGGCACTATGAGACTGAATCCTGCTCTCATGTCTTTAGGTTAATATACCAGTAGACTCTTAAGTAGATTACCCTTTATGAGTGGGCCTTATCTCATCAGTCAATGGCCGTAATAGAAAAATACTGATCTCCCTAGAAGAAGGAATTCTGCCAGCTGAATGCCTTTGGACTCTAAGTACAACTCCCCTGGGTCTCCTGCCTATTAGCCTACCCTGCAGATTTTGAAATTGTCAAGCCTCCATAACCGTGTGAACCAATTACTAAAAACACCCCTCTCTCTCTCTATGTACGCACATACATCCTATTGGTTCTGTTTCTCTGGAGAACCCGGACGCACACACAGTCTGATATGAAA